AATCGACCTACTGCCCCCCCCCCCCCCTTCCCAGCAAGCATGTCCTAGGAGTTGACTAATTGGGGGCATCCTTCGAAGTTGGATTACATCTGCCTAAGGCACGGAATCAAGAGTCTGCATACAAATAAGCCAGATGTGAAACAGATGTGCACACAACACTCAGGTTCTGGAACAAGACTAAAGTCCTGAGTTGGACCAACACCATTCAGTCAGAGTTTACAGGGCAGAATATGTCTGTAGCTGTGGTTGGTAGCTTGTTCCTTGAGAGTAGCTCTGACAGACAGAGCACTGATTTCTCTGATCTGACTTCTGTAGCCTGCTTTGTTCCCAGGCTGAGAGAGATATCATAATATGTGGATAGCATGTGGTTTCTACATTAATGCTCATATTATAATACCTGAGACAGTTGCAGCCCAGTGGCTAGGCATAATCAGTTTGCAAATGCAAGCGTTAGCAGGTAACAGTTACACTGCAGAGGATAGCATGTGATATTTTCCTCCTCATCGCTTGCCTTTTAAGAATATGCGTGTGCAGCACTAGTAACTGGTAGCTGGCTTTCACATGTTACAGTTTCTGCAGGAGTAGCTTAGTCATGAAGCTGGCATTCTTTTCGCTAAGTTCAAGATGTAAATCAAGTGGTGTATTTGTTGAAAAAAAGAGTAAAAAAATGTTTCTGTGGCAAGCAGCAATTATATCCATTACATGCACCCCTCACTGCTGTTGCAACCATAGATGAAGGGCAGATGATAGTGTCAGTGCACCCTGGAACAGACTGGGGCCTCCAAATATATGTACAAATATGGCGGTTGGTGCATCACAGCCAACCTCTGTTGTGTAATTAGTAAAGCTTTTAATAATAAGCCTATTAGAATTGAACAGGCAACTGATTAACCCACTGACTACCAAGCCCATTAACCCTTGCATTTCCCCAGATACCACGTATTTTAGTGTTTACTAAAAATGCCATAGCTTCACAACTATTTGATATAATCTCACAATATTTTGTATTTTTGCACCAAACTGAATGAAGAACAGATTTCAAGAAAAAAAAGTTGTTTATTTTGTTTTGCATCATCATCATGTGGCTGTAGATTGGTGCAAAAAAGGCAACCGGAAAATCTTTTATCTGACAACAATAAAGACAAATAAAAATGTCTTATTTTCAAAAAATATTAAACAAAAATGTATCATATTTTGTATTTTTGCACAAAATTAAACCAAGAACACATTTAAAGAAAAAAACAATAAGGTTTACTCTGACATAGTCATCATCATCATGTGGCTGTAGATTGTTGCAAAAAAGGCAACTGAAAATCATTTATCTGACAACAATAAAGACTGATAGTGATGATTTTTTTCACAAATTTTCAACAAACATATATAATATTTTGTATTTTCGCACAAAATTTAACAGAGAACAGTGTGAAGACAAAAAATGGGGTTTACTTTGTCTGACATAATCATCATCATCATGTGGCTGCAGATTGTTGCAAAAAGGCAACTGAAAAATCCTTTGACAATAATTCAGACTCCCAAAAAATGTCACAGCTTCACAACTGTTCAATATTACTTATCCTATCTGATATTGTTTGCACAAAATTAAATAGATAACAAATATCAAGACAAATGTAGATTTACTGTTTTATATCATCATCATGTGGCTGTAGATATGGTGCAAAAAAGGCAACTGAAAAATCCTTTGTCTGACAATAATTCAGACTCCCAAAAAATGTCACAGCTTCACAACTGTTCAATATCACTTATCCTATCTAATATTGTTTGCACAAAATTAAAAAGATAACAAATATCAAGACAAATGTAGATTTACTGTTTTATATCATCATCATGTGGCTGTAGATATGGTGCAAAAAAGGCAACTGAAAAATCCTTTATCTGACAATAATTCAGACTCCCAAAAAATGTCACAGCTTCACAACTGTTCAATATCACTTATCCTATCTGATATTGTTTGCACAAAATTAAATAGATAACAAATATCAAGACAAATGTAGATTTACTTTTTTATATCATCATCATGTGGCTGTAGATATGGTGCTAAAAAGGCAACAGAAAAATATGTTATCTGACAGCAATATATAGAAAACGCCCCCGTGACATGATGGTGGCAGCAAATGATGAGTGGAGAGATGGATATAAACTCTGGTAGTCTGAAATAGCTTTTTCACAACACATGTGACACAACAGTACAAGAAACCCAGCACTAATCTTTGTCTCAGCATAACGGTTTGTTTCTTTAGCAAACACAGCAAGTATGTCTTTACTGAAGAAAATATCCAGTGGTTCATTTGTTCCTTCTGTCAGAAATAAAACAGAAGTGCCAGTAAATGGGGGTACTCCAGTATAGCCTTCTAAATCACAATGCCAGTCATCAACCATTTGGGGGCGTGGCACATCTTCTCCGGACTCGTTAGATGATGATGATTCTGAATCAAAAGCGGCAATGATATTTTCGTCATGTGCAGACTCAAGCACAAAATCTTTATAATCTGTGGGCTTTGACTGAATACTCTTACAAGAACTATCAGCATCCTAACCTGCGGCACCAGTACTTGCAGCCGACAACACTGTGACTGTCTTTGTCAGACTTAACTTCGAAGCGTCATACTGTCGTTTTACAATCGACGATGTTTTGAATAGCACTTCGTTAAATTTATTATAGTCATAGCCATCAAACTGTTCAGAAGTGTCTTCAAATGCACTTTTTGAAGCAAAATCAAGAAAATCGAATGCATCATTAGAAAAATTAGGAGAGATATGGCCACCACGATGGTTCCGATAATTTGACGCCATGATGAATTTTTCGTCAATGTCTCACCGTCATGGGAGCTAACTAAAAAAATTCATCAAATATTTACTTCAAGCACTACGAAGTTATTTCCCTTAATTAACCATACAGAAATGAATAAGCTAGAGGTTTCAACTAAATCCATCATAAAAATCGCGATTTTAACATGACGGCGAGCGTCCAAAGCTAAAATCGCAAAGGGTGTGACGTTGGCAGATGGAAGTAAACGTCGCCTTGTCGCATTACGTGCGACGCTGGTAGTCAGTGGGTTAAACCAAAGTCACAAATTTGAGGGCAGGCAACGTCTATAAAGCAACTTATGAATGCCAGTCGCTGACTATCTCGCAGCAATTAAGGAAGGAAGAAAATGGGGCTTTTGAGATGAAATGTGTAGAAAGATACCCAGTAAATCATGGACCAAGAAGAAAATAAATACTCACATCCTAAAAGATCTGAATATGAAGAAAGATTGGCTGGTAAACAGCATCTTGTCTTGGAAACTGAAGAATTTTGGCAATATCAAGTGCCACGGCGGATTGGGGAATAAAATAGCAGAAGGCAGGTACCAAAAAAAGAGTGGTAAGGGTTATCCTGTATAGAAAAGGGCACAGGATGTGTGGATATGTACTAAAACACACCAATACCGACTGAGCAAGTAGGACGTCATAAACATTATGTAGTGTTGTTAGGAAATTGGAATCTAGAGGATTCACAGTCGAAAAGTTCAAGAAGGCAGACTTGTGGTCAGGCCTTGGTGGATCCTTGAGGAAGTTCTACCCCAGGACTCCATGAAGAAGTCTCAGCCTGGGTACATTATTGCGTTCTGCAGGAAGCAGGAGTTAGTTAGTTAGTTAGTTAGTTAGTTAGTTAGTTGGGTTATCATCATTGCACTCCGGACATGTCCATAGGTGCTCAGATCCTCCCCTCAGTATGAATCCCAACGTCCGATGGCTAATAGTACCAGTTCTATGTTGATTAACAAGTCTTCTGACGTGTCCGGTGTGCGTCTCGTTTTTTGCTGTGCCGATCTTAATTCCCAAGTCTGCCATTCTGGTGAGTGATGTGGATTCACTGCCACCAAAGTCCTCTATCCTTCCCATTTCTCTGAGGGCATTGATAATATCAGCATGATCCATAGGCCGACCGTCGGTAGTGATAGCGGATCCAGCCAACCTGTCAGCTCTTTCATTTCCATCGACGCCTGCGTGTCCCGGAACAAAAATAAAGGTGACTCCTCGCACAGTGGACTTCTGAATTGATTCAAGCCATTGTCTTCGCACTGAACCTGCCTGAACCCTCCGGATCATACTCATTGAATCACTGAGTATACATATGCGGGTGTATTTTTGTGTTTCAAGCCAGGCAAACGCTTGCGTCACTGCCATCACCTCCATCGTCATGCTGCTGGTTGTCATGAAGAAGGCGCCGTTGGCTTCTTTGACTGTTCTGCCCGCTGAGCGTGCTGTAAATGCCCATGCGCTTCTTCTTTGGCGTATAACTGATCCGTCTGTATAGATTAGTGCATCTGCTTCGTCTGAATTTTCACCGATGAGAGCGTTGACCTCTGCATTAACAGCAACAGGATTATCTTCAACAGGAAGCAGGAGTATTTTAAGCTATTGGATCACTCAGTGGAAGAGCTGGCAGAATCACAAAGGAGGGATATTGCCCTGTTCTGAAGTATCAGACTGTAGATGAATAAGTTAAAGTAACTATTTAGACTCTCAAAGTCATACTGTTGACCTGTAGGGAGTTGATTAGAATCCGATAAAGAATATGGATTCTAATATTTAAAGAGGAGTTTGAGTGCGCTAGCAAGTGCTCGGTATATTTGGGTAAGTCTTATCCACATATCACGTTATTGCACATTTTCATTCAGATCATAGTGTTTGTAAAACACCAGTGTTACACTACGTACAGGGCCTTCGTCATCTGATTTACGTGTGGACACCTTGGAGTTGACTGTTATCGTTATGGTTATCATGTTGCGTCAGGAGTTCCAGATAATGCCTAGTGGTCCTCGAACACCGTTTTCACTGAAAATAATCTCCGACTATTTTCCCTTCACTTGGCTTGTAGAATGGAATATGTTTTATGCTGGACTTGTTGACTTGTACCTGATAGAACATCTCAGAGACCCAGTTTTTGTCAGGCAGACTGTGATGGCAGCCATGTTCGGCAAAGAACCTGCTACATGATTGATTTAGTTTATTGTTTATTTAGGTTGTTCTCAGCTTTCCAGCTCTGGATGTAAAAGCTGACACAAAATCTGTTTCCACACCTTTAGAAGACTGGGAAAGATGGTGCTATTCTAATATATTTATAGAGCAAATGACCACACAAAGGGTTATCTGATCAATATCAGACTGGTCGCCTTTACCTTGTAGAAAATTTCCTGCTTGTTATCCCGGGAGCCTTGCGGTTTGAATCTTTGACTGCCCCTGTGGGTTTTGTTGGGCAACAAAGAAGAGAACCACTGACTCACTAACCAGCAGGTCATATGAATGGACTACTAATGGGTGTTTTCTTTGATGTCAGAGTGCATATAACTGAGAGGTGAGGAACCAACAGTCTGCATACAAGTAAGCCAGTTACATAAAACAGATGTGCATATTCTTGAACAAAATCAAAGTCTAGAAGTCGATGAACAACCACTTTCTACTAAAGTTTACAGCAGTGAACATGAAGAAGTGGATAAACAAATAAAATGTTCTGCTTTAGTTTCACAGCTTGTGAACATGAACAAGTTTGTGCAACAAGACCAAAGTTCAGAAGGGGATGAACAACCAGAACTTTCCACCTGAATTCACAGCTGGTGGATGCTAAGAAGCAGATAAACTTGTGACCACTGGTTTGGCAGCAGTGATTACACCACCACAAATCCGTCTATCGCCACCAGTTCTCTTGTCAGGCCCAGTTGTACCAGCTGTGTTAAGTTAGTTCCATCCCTTTACAAGATGTTGCAGAACCAACCCCAGCATTTTTTTGGTTGTTTTCCATTTGCTAGGTGTTCAGCTCTCAGTACCACTGTTGAAACCAACACAAGACTAAATATCCACAGCTGGGATTGAACCCATCACCTCAGTATTATAAAGTGTTTTTGCAATGCCTAAGCCACAAACACCAACAGTGTGTAGGCATTTATAAATTAACTAGTTCCCTATCTCAGACATCCATGAACCCTAACTAGTTCTCTCTCTCTCAGAAATCCATGAACCATAACTAGTTCCCTATCTAAGTCATCCATGAACCCTAACAAGTTTCTCTCTCTGACACCCATGAACCCTAACTAGTTCTCTGTCTCAGACATTCATGAACCCTAACTAGTACTGTAGCTCAGACATCCATGAACCCTAACAAGTTCTTAATCTCAGACATCCATAAACCCTAACTAGTTCTCTATCTTAGACATCCATGAACCCTAACTAGTTCTCTGTCTCAGACATCCATGAACCCTTACTAGTTCCCTATCTCAGACATCCATGAACCCTAACATGTTCTCTATCTCAGACATCCATGAACCCTAACTAGTTCTCTATCTCAGACATCCATGAACTTAAACTAGTTCCCTATCTCAGACATCCATGAACCCTAACTAGTTCCCTATCTCAGACATCCATGAACCCTAACTAGTTCTGTATCTCAGACATCCATGGACCCTAACTACTTATTTTATAATCCGAATGCTAATTTCTTTTATATTTATCAGCTTATTAATTTAGTAGCTTACACTGACAAGTTAACTGTAAATGTCAGTAATAAAGGATCCTTTATATCTTGTCATCTCCTTATGGAATGAAATTTTTAGTTTTTTTGAAGCCCTACTCTGGCGCTTGCCAGGGGCCGCAATATAGCCCGGCCATAAATATGGTCTAATGGCTGAACACGGTTTCTAGGACCTCTCCATGGGTGATCCTCATCCACATGGTGGCACTTTGTGTCATTGGGTGTTTATCGCTTGTGTGATGTCCTGGTGGGGTAAAAGAAGATAGATAGGTGAAGGATCCTTGTCACCCCCATTGGCTTACCAGGCATATGGTGATAACTAGACTCATATTTTGTAGACAAATTGACACCTGCTTTAAGGTCTGGTTGTTATTCATGCTGATTACCTTTATTTCCCCAGACATTTTCTGATGCCTGTTTTAGGCTGGGTCAGCATGAGAGCCAAGGTCATTTCTAGAAAATGTGTCTTTGTGTGGATTTGAACCTGACTTCCCTGTGTGAGTTCCAGAACCCTATTGGGAATGAAACAGGATTAGACCCTGAGAGGCAAGGCACCAACAGTCAGTATAGAAATAAGTCAGAACTGTAAAACAGATGTGCATGCAAAACTCGAGTTCTGCAACAAGACCAAAGTCCAGAAGTGGATGAGCAACCAAAACTTTCTGCCAGAAAGCCAAACATGTTAAGGAAAAGAATAAGAACCTAAGACATTCTGGCTGTCAGGCAGGTAAGCGTCTAGCCCTACCTGGGCTCTTGGTTATGTAGTCAGCTACAGGTAAACAGGAAGATACCATGGTGGAGTGTGCTAGACACTCACCTGTGGATCAGAAGGTCATGAGTGGTCATGAGTTCCGGTCCTGATGGAGTCACAACTTTTTCAAAAACAACCTTGGTGATGTTGAGTGCAGATTGGTCTATAAAATATAGGTCTAGCCCTATATGCCTAGTACACACGAAGGCATCGTAAAGGGTCCTTTACCTTTGACTTTTCACATGTAAACATTCTACCGGTTGTTCACAGATGGCAGACAAAACTGTGGTGGTGCATTCTCTGGGCCTGAAGGTGGGGTGACGTCCCCTGGATATCCGAACCCATACCAACATACCATCCAGTGTGTATGGGTCATCACGGTGGCACGGGGCAGCTCCGTCCAGTTGTCATTCACTGACCTGGACCTTGAGGCCTCAAGTTCTTGTAGCCATGACTATCTAACGGTTAGTGTTTGAGTTTCTTACATGGTTGTGTTGATGTTAAAATCCTCTTTGCTTCAAATTAATTACCTTGTTCAACTTGAAATATATATTGAAAAAATAAAACTCCATTACCCTGCTACTGTGAGCTGAGTGAATAGTGCAAAACTGTTAGCTGCAGATTTATTTTGGAATGCTTTTCAACTGTCCAGTATCATTTGTCTTCTGAACTGCAGATTTAGAAAATGGTGAATGGCCTATTAACATATTGATAGCACCTTTGGCAATATTGTGTGCATATGCGACTGCTTATTTAATCCTGACTGCTGCTTCTGGCGATGTTAAACTGCTGTTCTAGCAGCAGACAATTTTTTTGGCACTTACGGTGTCTTTATGCATTGGGTGCACGTTATTGCGATTGACTTTACCGAGTCTGTAGTATGTGTGAGTTTTTTCACAAGGGACAATGCTGATCATTCTCTGGGGCTCTTTCCTGGCAGGGGAATAGAGTAGTTACACCATGACACATTTGCCATGAAGTTGCAACTGCAGTTAACTGAATAATAGCGAAGAGTTAGGGACTGATAATGGTCATTGAGAAGATGGTCATTGAGAGAATGATCATTCAGAGGACGATCACTGAGAGGATTAACTGGTTAAGAAATGAGGCAAAAAACGCCTCTGTCTATGAGAGAAACTACAGGTCCCAGGGACCAGGGGGTTCACTAGAAGTTCAAGTCCATGTGAAAAATCCCAGCCCTCACCAGGGATTGAACCCTGAACCTTTAGCACTCGAGGCAGACACCATGCCTCGAGACACGACAACAGATGCTGGAGTGACTTTAACATTAAAATGGAATAATGAAGATAACCTTTGACTGCTCGTGACATTATTTACAATTTGAAGACAAATGTGTCAGCCGAAAGGCACAAATATGGCAACTATGCTTTAAACAGGCACAAAACAATTACTCAGACAAATGAGGAAAAAGATTTACTATTTGACTGCTAGTAAAATTATTTACACACTTTTGTTGCTAATTCCATTTGAGACAGTCATTACGTTTAAGTGTCGAGGATTGGAAGGTTGTTTTGTAGGAAGTCAAATGCCCTAATTATAAATGTTTGTTTAAAATGAATGATATAAAATTCCTGTCAACCAAGGGTCAGGAATTTTTTCATATAATATTATTGGTATTAAATTGACTGAATCGACTGACTGACTTTCTACCCCACCAGGACATCACACAAGCGATAAACACCCGATGACACAAAATGTGCCACCATGTGGATGAGGATCACCTTGGAGAGGTCCCAGAAACCGCTTTCAGTCTTTAGGCCATATCTATGGCCAGGCTATATTGCGACCCCTGGCAAGAGTCAGAGTAGGACTTAAAATAACGAAAAATTGTGTCCTAAAAAGGATGGGGGGTAATGGATTGACTGAATTAATGGTAATTAACTTATAAACTATGGCATCAATTGGGTACAAATTGTTCATTGTAAGGAATACAAGAACGGACCCACTGCATCTACAACAAGCATATCATAAGAGTCAACTCATTAGAGGCTTCCTTCAAAGTCAGCCTGCATCTGCCTGCTCAGCAAGGAACCAACAGTCTGCTTACAAGAAAAGACAAATCTGAGAAATGGATGTGCATGCAAAACTCAAGTTTGGAGCAGGAACAAAGTCCAGAAGGGGATGAACATCTAGAATTTTCTGCTGGAGTTTACAGCCGATAAGTGCTAGGAATGAGAAAAATAGAAATATAAATTGACTGAATTATTGGTAATTTATTGATACACTCTGGCGTGAATTGGGTATAGTCAACAGGTTTGTGTCTGTGTGATATCTCTACAGATCAGAGACGGCTCAGATCAGAGGGCACCCACACTAGGCACGTTTTGTAACACCGGCGTCCCAGCTGATATTCGCAGCTCTAGCAATGTAATTGGCCTTGAATTTCACACAGATGAGCTGAATTCTGGTCGAGGGTTCAAAGCCAATTGGACCACAGGTAAAGTTGGAATCTTTTCTTTTTAAAATGTGCTACCGTGAGGACTACAGGTAAGGTGGGATTTGAACTCTTTTGCTCAAGACTCTTGTCATACCACCTGATCCCTGTATGTGTGTTCCAGGGCTCCATTTTGGAGAGCATAAAATAGACTCACCCTTCCCCACCTCCCAACAAGCATGTCATAGGAGGCTACTAATTAAGGGTGTTTTCTACAAAGTCATAGTGCAACTACCTAAGCGGCAAGGAACCAACAGTCTGCATAAAGATGACTTGGATCTGTAAAATGGATGTGCATGTAAGACTCAAGTTTCAGATAAAGACTAAAGCCCAGGAGTGGATAAACAACTAGAACTTTCCACCAGAGTGTAGAGACGGTGAACACTAATAAAAAAAGATACAAGATTTCAACCATTTCTTCCTTTGGCACTAAGGTTAAGCAGTCATGTGCAGGCCTTGATTATTCCTGGGGTGATCTTAGTACCAGAGTACCATCAGTTAGTTCAGCATTTATGCATGCCTGCTTGAATGGTGGGCGAGTACCATCAGTTAGTTCAGCATTTATGCATACCTGCTTGAATGGTGGGCGAGTACCATCAGTTAGTTCAGCATTTATGCATGCCTGCCTGAATGGTGGGCGAGAACCATCAGTTAGTTCTGCATTTATGCATGCCTGCCTGAATGGTGGGCGAGTACCATCAGTTAGTTCAGCATTTATGCATGCCTGCTTGAATGGGGGGCGAGAACCATCAGTTAGTTCAGCATTTATGCATGCCTGCTTGAATGGTGGGCGAGAACCATCGGTTAGTTCAGCATTTATGCATGCCTGCTTGAATGGTGGGCGAGTACCATCAGTTAGTTCAGCATTTATGCATGCCTGCTTGAATGGTGGGCGAGAACCATTAGTTAGTTCAGCATTTATGCATGCCTGCTTGAATGGTGGGCGAGAACCATCAGTTAGTTCAGCATTTATGCATGCCTGCTTGAATGGTGGGCGAGAACCATCAGTTAGTTCAGCATTTATGCATGCCTGCTTGAATAGTGGACAATGTCCATATTTTGCTGCCTTCCATTGAGAGCTGACCAGCATGCATGTGACTGTTTTGGACTGACTCCATGGGGGGTGGGGGGGACGCCACCAGCTGCCGGTTAGGGGGCAAAGATGGTGACACTTATGTGAGGTTGTGCACTGTCCCAAACAAGTAACAAGAAGTCTAATCCGGACATAAATACCTCAGGGTATGTCCAAAGGATGGGAGTCGCCGTGGCCGAGTGGCTAGATGTTCGCCGCAGATCAGAAGGTCGTGGGTTCGCTCCCTGGCGGAGCCGGACTTTTTTCAAAAATGACCTTGGCTCCCAGGGCGACCCAGCCTTGAGTGGGTACCGATTGCAGTCCCGGGAAAGTGAAGGCGGCCAGCGTGATACTGACCACATCACCCATCTTGTGCCGATTGGTCTATAAAAATATAGGTCTAGCCCTGTGTGCCCTCTATGCCTCAAGGCGTGGAAGAGGGTCCTTTACTTACTTACTTATGTCCAAATGATGCATATATCACAGCTACACTTTAAACACTTACCAGGTGCAGTCCTGGGAAGTAAAGGTGGCTGGTATGATGCTGACTACATCAGCCACCAAATGCTACCTGGTCTGAATAATATAGGTCTAGCACTGTATGCCCAATATGCCTGAAAGGCCAGGAAAAGGGTCCTTTGCTTTACTTTTCATTTTAAACAGGCTCAGTCTAATAACGTCCAACACAAAACCTGAACAAAAGAAGAAGAAGAGGATTTATATTATCCTTTTCATCATCATGTAGCAGGTCCTTTGCCGAACGTCACTCTCATCCCAGTCTCCAGTCTGCCTGAAAGAAACTTGGTCTCTCACCAATTCTCCTGCCTCATGCACTTTCACACTCAAGGAGTCACTTATATCCTGTGCCCATCTTCATGTCAGTCGGCCCCTGTCCCTCCTTCCTAGTACCATGCCTTCTGCTATAATTTTTTTCCAATCCGTCGTGGCACTTGATTTGACCAAAATATTTCAGCTTCCAAGACAGGATGCTTTTTATTGGCCAATCTTCCTTGATGTTCAGTTCTTTAAAGATGTCAGTATTTCTCCTCTTTTTCGACCAAGATATTCTGAGAATCTTTCTAAAGCATTTTAGCTCAAAAGCACGTTTCTCTTTCTTAAGGACTGGGAGATAGTCCAGGACTTATATTATCCTACTGGTCTATAAATTACCACCTTCATAATATTTTTGACTCTTCATCTTTCAGCTTGTGGAGGGACATTCTCGGGTCTGCATGGTCAGATCCAGTCTCCCAATTGGCCAGACTACTATCCTAAGAGCAAGACATGCAACTATGCAATTGGGGTTCCTTACTCACAGATTGTCAGGTTTGAATTGACTGCTAATGGACTTGGAGAAGGATTAGATTGCACCAAAAACTACATAGAGGTAGTAACATTTTTTTTTTCTGTTAAAAATCTTATGCAATTTCTGGTGATTGTGAGAGGATCAATACCAAACAGACTGCAGGGTACTGAATACATGTCTCTATTATGAGAATGGAGATAGAGGCTGCCACTGTTGCACTAAAATATCTTCTCAGTACTTCACTTACAAATGTAACTAATGTCTTGTTAGGTTAAAAATATATTGCTGATGGTCAGGCATAACAGGGACTGCTGTAAATCTTATATGGGGTCTTAGATAAACAGTGGCTAGTAGAAATCCATTATTGTTGCTGTCAGCTCGCGACCAGGCAGCTGAAGTAGAAAAACAGAGTCATGATTGCTGCTGTCTGCATTAGACCTGACAACTGTAGTTAATGAACAGAGTCATGATTGCAGCTGTCTGCTCTAGACCTGACAACTGTAGAAGAACAGAGAGTCATGACTGCTGCTATCTGCGCTAGACCTGACAACTGTAGTTTAAGAACAGAGAGTCATGATTGTTGCTGTTTGCTCTAGACCTGACAAATGTAGTTGAAGAACAGAGTCATGATTGCTGCTGTCTGCTTTAGACCTGACAACTGTAGTTGAAGAACAGAGAGTCATGATTGCTGCTGTCTGCTTCAGACCTGACAACTGTAGTTTAAAAACAGAGAGTCATGATTGCTGCTGTCTGCTTTAGACCTGACAACTGTAGTTGAAGAACAGAGAGTCATGATTGCTGCTGTCTGCTCTAGGCCTGACAAATGTAGTTGAAGAACAGAGAGTCATGATTGCTGCTGTCTGCTTCAGACCTGACAACTGTAGTTGAAGAACAGAGAGTCATGATTGCTGCTGTCTGCTTTAGACCTGACAACTGTAGTTGAAGAACAGAGAGTCATGATTGCTGCTGTCTGCTTCAGACCTGACAACTGTAGTTTAAAAACAGAGAGTCATGATTGCTGCTGTCTGCTTTAGACCTGACAACTGTAATTGAAGAACAGAGAGTCATGATTGCTGCTGTCTGCTCTAGGCCTGACAAATGTAGTTGAAGAACAGAGAGTCATGATTGCTGCTGTCTGCTTCAGACCTGACAACTGAAGTTGTAGAACAAAGAGTCATGATTGTTGCTGTTTGCTCTAGACCTGACAACTGAAGTTGAAGAACAAAGAGTCATGATTGCTGCTGTCTGCTTTAGACCTGACAACTGTAGAAGAATATAGAGCCATGATTGCTTCTGCCTGCTTTAGACCAGACAGCTAGAGAAGAAGAATAGAGTCATGATTGCTGCTTTTCGCTCAAGACCAGACAGTTAGAGAATAAGAATAGAGTCATGTTTGCTGCTTTTTGCTCTAGACCAGACAGTTAAAGAAGAAAAATAAAGTCATGATTCCTTCTGTCTCCTCTAGACCAGACAGCTAAAGAAGATGAAAAGCCATGACTACCGCTCTCTGCTTCAGATCAGACAACTGAAGAAGACATAGTCATGATTCTTTATTAATAATCTGGACTAGAACCTGGAAATGAAAAATCAAGATAATAAAAAATAATTAAATGTAAAGCTCTGAAATGTACATTTAATCACAGTTTTATGGGGTGTGATATCACAGTCTTCATCATTTTTCGCTCTTTCAAAATATAATTCAGTCTTGAACTGTTCCCTCTTTGCTGTTGTTTAGTTTCATGACGGAGCCACTCAGGATGCAGCACTGATCGGGACCAGACTTTGCGAGGATGATTTCCCCTTTAGAATCATGTCCACAGGAAGTGATCTATTTGTGAGGTTTGCCACCGATGGATCGATAAATAACCGTGGCTTCAGCGGAACATTTACTGCTGTAGGTTTGGGTGAGTCTTTTTATGTGTGTGCAAATCCTGTGTCCTGACTATAAAATCAGAAAAGGCTGAACAGGGTAAGTGAGATTTGTAAATATATGTATTACATTAAAGTCATCATAACCTAAAACTACTTGAAGTAACCTGAAAATCCAGAAGAGGATGAACAGCCAGACCTTTCCATTGGAGTTTACTGCCAATGATAGTGAAGAATACCATGTGTTGCCACACCATACAAGACATACATCAACAGAAGAGACGGATATAGAGCACAAGGTTGACCAACAGTAAGAGGGAAGGATGACATCAAAGAAACTCTACAAAAGTACGATGTGTCAATGGTTGAGGCAGCCAGAAGAGCAAGGAGAAAAACATTACAATACACTCAACTCCCGAAATGGTACAAGTGGAAGTGAAGAAGAGAAGAAGAATGTGAATAAGAAGAAGATTTGAGGATTTCTTACAAAGGAGCCTTCTCACACTGCTAGTGAATAGGGCATAGGATGTTTATAGACCAGCTGGTACTTCATGAGTCATGTAGGTCACACTCATGCTGGCTGGCCACCTTTACTTTCCAAGATATTTTCTGGAGCCTATTTTAGTTAGGCTGGGTCAAACAGAGTGCCCAGGTCATTTATGACAAATCTACCCTGATGTAGATTCAAACCCAGGACATTTGGGTCATGAGACTGTCATCTAGCCCCTATGCTACAACAGCTTAATTATAGATTCCATTAACCAGAAGCAAGAAGAACAGTCTCCATATGCACATATTTTTTCTATGTTCCAACCTTAAACAGAAGTGAGTTAATAAAGTGGGAGTGTTTCCTTCAAAGTGCTTCAAAGAGAGGCCTGGAACCAACAGTCTGCATACAAAAAAGCCTTATCTGAAAAACAGATGTTCATGCAAAACTAAAGTTCAGGGTCTAGACTAGAGTACAGAAATGGACAAGCAACCAAAACTTTCCACCAGAATTAACAGCTGAAGAAAAAGAAAGACAGAAGAAGAATAAAATATGTGTTGACTGGGCCAGAAGACAAGCTAGCTAACCATGTTGTTATTACCACTCACAGGCTGGCCGAAAGCTTGTCTGAATAACAGCAGTTATACAATAATAACTGTTCTTCTGTTCTCTTGTTTCTGTTTTTGTTGTTCTTAATTTTTTTAACACCCCCCCCCCCTTATTTTCTCTTTTTTTCTCTTCTTCTCCTTCAGCATTCCAAGTCCTTGAGGTTCACTGCTGCAGATATCACCTGCCTCCATTCCTCTCTGTGATTGGCCATCTCAATACAGTTGTTAAGTCTTCCTATTTATTATCTCTCTGTCATTTTCTTGTTCAGCCAAGTGGTCTATTGCCATTTAATTTATGTTGTCTCTCAGTTATCTGCCATTCTCTCTCTCTCTGTATGCCGCCATCATTGTTGGTCTACTCCCATTCAATTCATGTTGTCTCTCTATTATCTGCCATTCTCTCTCTATATGCCTCCATCATTCTTGGTCTACTCCCATTCAGTTTATGTTGTCCCTCTGTTATCTGCCATTCTCTCTCTCTGTATGCCTCCATCATTCTTGGTCTACTCCCATTCAGTTTATGTTGTCTCTCCTCTGTTATCTGCCATTCTCTCTCTCCGTGCCTCCAAAAATTAGACTCATGATGCCAGTATTTAGTGATGATTTCAACATAATAATAATTGTGTCATTTTTTTATTGCCTGATACCAAATTTTGTGTTGCCTACAGGTCCCGAAGGATGTGGTGGAGTGTACAACAACAACTCTGGGATCATCACTAGCCCAGTTGATCCCACTGAGTATCCTCATGGGGTCAACTGTACCTGGTATATTAATGCCCCTCCGGGACTGGTCATTCGTCTGACATTTCTTGTATTTAACTTCATGGAACCTGACAGAGGAAGTACCTGCGTGAATGATTTTATTGACATTTATGACAACTCAACTATGTTTGAAGGAAGTCGGCTAGGAAGGTATGTCTGAAAACCTTATGTACAATGAATACTAATGTTCCGCCTTGGGGATTAGGGGCTGTTTGTCATTGGGAAAAGATAATAGACTCACTGCCTGCTAACAAGCATGTCCTAAAAGTTGACTAATTTCAGGTGTTACCTTCCAAGATGGAGTGCATCTGTTTGTGAGGCCAGGAACCAGCTGCCTGTGTACAAATAAGAGAGATCTGTAATATGAAGTTGCATGTAAAACTCAAGTTCTAGAACAAAGCTCAAAGTTCAGAGGACAAGCAACTAGAACTTTCTGCAAGAGGCAGAAGAAGATGAAGAAGAAGAAGAAAATATTTGATTGCATATAAAAATCTAGCTGAGACATATTTGGATCATTCGTGCTGATGTAAAGTTTGTGAATATACTAAGATACTTCTTTTATTTTCTCGAGACGAAAAAAAACTATAAGCAATCATTTGCAAACAAATAATCAAACACATAAATGAACAGAGAACATTAGTTTTAAATGACAACCAGAAATCAACACTTATCGACCTTTAGATTTATTTTGTTTATCTTTATTTTACTTTTTTTTTTTGGTACGATTGTTTTATTTACCTGTAAATTATTGTAACATAACAACCATAATTCATAAACTAATTGAGCTAAAATTACCTTTGACATGCAGATACTGTGGATCACGACTCCCACAAATGGTTACCTCTTCTGACAACGTGCTTGTTGTGTACATGCAGACAGATGCCAGTTTGGCCCGCGAAAGATTTACTGCATCCTTTGCAGCAATCAATACATCAACAGGTTAGTCAACATTTTTTTGGGGGGGTAAATGCAGGTGTGTAACAAAAAAAATCAGTTCTAGTCTCAAATTGTTGACTATGTTATCTATTCACAAGCCGAGTAAAATCACAGGACATGCCCACATAAGCACTATAACAAACAAAACAAAAAACAGCAAAAGTTTCAGGTGCCAAATGTGTGCAAACAGGACATGCCCACATAAGCACTATAACAAACAGAACAAAAAGCAGCAAAAGTTTCAGGTGCCAAATGTGTGCAAACAGGACATAAATAATGCAGGTACTTAAGATATATTTATGGAAACAGGAAGCTGTAAACTGTGTTGCATGGAGGGAACATCGGAAAGAGAATGAACAAACAGACAAACTTTATTTTCAAAGGGTTAAGAATTGTGCACACATGCCCATCTTACATTCTGCCCTTCTGGCCTCTCTCCATGCATATATTGTTATGTTCACACATAATTTTAGCAGATAATGATAATAAACATCATCAAAAATATCTTAGTTAAATTGTGCTCTAGGTATACCAACATTTCAAATAGTTAAATAGTAAATCTCTGTGGAAATCAACAATAAGCTTAGGATACGATTCTCTTGTAATGGGGCATGTAGTCTGTAAGTAAAGTAGTAAAGTTAAAGACCCTTTTCCACGCCTTTAGGCGTATAGGGCTAGACCTATATTTTTAAAGACCAATCGTCACAGATGGGTGATGTGGTCAGCATCACGCCGGCCGCCTTTACTTCCTGGTACTGCACCCGGTACCCACTCAAGGCTGGGTTGACCTGAGAGCCAAGGTCATTTTTGAAAAAATTCCGGCTCCGCCAAGGAGTGAACCCACGACCTTCCAATCCGCGACAAGCCTCTAGCCGCTCAGCCACGGAGACTCCCCCATGTAGTCTGTAATGAGATAATATTCAAACAATTGTACTGATAAGGTTGTTAGTATCAACACATCTGGAAGCTGTTCTAAAATGATCTCACTGCAGACTGCATGCACCCTTAGAGAAGAAAAGTATCCTAATCGGCTAACTATGCATGATTTACTTCTCTATAACAGGATGGCTCTATAAAATGCTCTAGAACTCTTTCTCACCTCAGTTGACAAAGATAGGTAGCATAGAATATTATTAATTTTGTGAAATCCTGCCATTTAACTTCTTAAACATGTATTCCATCTGCTTTTATCAGAGTAACTGAGTACTGATATTTATCACCTAGCTTCAGAATTATCATATTCACTTTGATGTTGTATTCTGGAGGGCATTCTCTATCACACTTATTTCCAAGGTTGTAAAATTTACCGGTAGTCAACATAGTCTCTATTATGGAAGTGCTGACAAATTATGCCTAAAAATAAAAGGTGCTGGTACTGTGTTCCGTTGTGTACCACTAGAAACAAAAGTTATATCTAATATGTTATCACAGTCCACTCGTAGACTTTTGAATCTGGCTCCAGATGATTCCGAAACAAACCACCGTAACAGTATGTGTGGGTACACTCCCTTCCACATTGGCTGACACACAGCATGCTAACTGTTACTTTTCTTCTTCGCATTTGCTGCAGAGCTTTTGTAGAAAGTTCTGGTTATTCATCCACTTCTGGACTTAAATCTTGTTCCAGAACCTGAGTGTTATGTGTGCATCCATTTTATAGATCTGGATTTTTTGTTTGCAGACTGTAGATCTGCAAACAAAAAAGCCACATCTGTAAAATGGGAAAAGGTGGGGGGGGATGGCAGTGTGTCTGTTTTTGTTTTCCCCACAATGAGGCCATGGAACCCACACAGGGAGAATAACTGCTGTTGTATCTTCCACAGTTTGTGGCTTAGCTTTGACGTCTGCATCAGGAGTGATTACCTCCCCTAGCTATCCAAATCCTTACCAACATAATCGCGTGTGTGAGTGGACTATAACCGCAGCAAACGGAAACCAGATATTGCTCAACATTACTGATCTGGATTTTTCATTTTTTACACACTGCCATAATGAATTTTTGGAGATCAGGTAAAGCATTTATTTTTTAGTTGATGTTTTCTGAAATTGATCTGTAAAAAAATAAGGTGCAGTATCTGCACCTCTATCTCCCATGTCAATTTAATAACTACTAACATTATTGTGGGATGCGAATTTTCGTTATTTTGAAACTCCACCCTGGCTCTTTGCCAGCGGCCTCAATACAGCCCGACCATATATATGGTCTAATGGCTGAATGCGGTTTCTGAGACCTTTCCACAGGTGATCCTCATCCACATGGTGGCACTTTGTGTCATCGGATGTTTATCGCTTGTGTGATGTCCTGGTGGGGTAAAAGTACTACTACTACTACTACTACTAGGAGAAACATAACCTTCCTGAATGACTTTTCTCCAGACCTTTATGCGTTTTTACATTCCCACAACATTTCATTTTCCTAAAATGTATTTGTCTGCAGAACCAATATTCTTCATTGAGATATACTTGTTGGATACATTATTTTTCTGCAGAGCCAATATTCTACATTCAGATATTCTTGTTGGATACATTATTTTTCTGCAGAATCAATATTCTTCATTGAGATATTCTTGTTGGATACATTATTTTTCTGCAGAATCAATATTCTTCATTGAGATATACTTGTTGGATACAGTATTTTTCTGCAGAATCAATATTCTACATTGAGATATACTTGTTGGATACATTATTTTTCTGCAGAACCAATATTCTACATTGAGATATTCTTGTTGGATACATTATTTTTCTGCAGAACCAATATTCTACATTGAGATATTCTTGTTGGATACATTATTTTTCTGCAAAATCAATATTCTACATTGAGATATACTTGTTGGATACATTATTTTTCTGCAGAATCAATATTTTTCATTGAGATATTCTTGTTGGATACATTATTTTTCTGCAGAATCAATATTCTACATTGAGATATTCTTGTTGGATACATTATTTTTCTGCAGAATCAATATTCTTCATTGAGATATTCTTGTTGGATACAGTATTTGTCTGCGGAACCAATATTCTACATTGAGATATTCTTGTTGGATACAGTATTTTTCTGCAGAACTAATATTCTACATTGAGATATTCTTGTTGGATACATTATTTTTCTGCAAAATCAATATTCTACATTGAGATATACTTGTTGGATACAGTATTTTTCTGCAGAACCAATATTCTACATTGAGATATTCTTGTTGGATACATTATTTTTCTGCAAAATCAATATTCTACATTGAGATATACTTGTTGGATACATTATTTTTCTGCAGAATCAATATTCTTCATTGAGATATTCTTGTTGGATACATTATTTTTCTGCAGAATCAATATTCTACATTGAGATATTCTTGTTGGATACATTATTTTTCTGCAGAATCAATATTCTTCATTGAGATATTCTTGTTGGATACATTATTTTTCTGCAGAATCAATATTCTACATTGAGATATTCTTGTTGGATACATTATTTGTCTGCGGAACCAATATTCTTCATTGAGATATACTTGTTGGATACATTATTTTTCTGCAGAACCAATATTCTACATTGAGATATTCTTGTTGGATACATTATTTTTCTGCAAAATCAATATTCTACATTGAGATATACTTGTTGGATACATTATTTTTCTGCAAAATCAATATTCTACATTGAGATATACTTGTTGGATACATTATTTTTCTGCAGAACCAATATTCTTCAGTGAGATATACTTGTTGGATACAGTATTTTTCTGCAGAACCAATATTCTACATTGAGATATTCTTGTTGGATACATTATTTTTCTGCAAAATCAATATTCTACATTGAGATATTCTTGTTGGATACATTATTTTTCTGCAAAATCAATATTCTACATTGAGATATACTTGTTGGATACATTATTTTTCTGCAAAATCAATATTCTTCACCCCAAGGCTACTTCCTCTTTAACTGCCCCAGCTCCCAGATTTGATCACTGAATCTACTATAATGCCCACTTTAGTCATAACTAATTATTATTATTGAAAAAAAAAATTAATACTTAGTAATTGGGTTATCTGTTTCCAAAAGTGCTTTAAACGAAAACTATGCAATTTAAAAAAAAAAATGGGGCAGTGTCTGGTAGGACTTGAAGACAGGATCATCAGTATGAAGGCAGACATGATAACTCCACTAGGAAATCACATGATAAAATTCAGTTAAAATAAAACCAGTATTGTTGTACAATATAACAGACACATGTATTTTTAAGTTGTACAGTATAGAAAAGGATTAATTTTGATCATCATATCAAAACGTGGCCATATACAATATGTGTATTGTATTGATCACTGAGTGATCCAATTCAGATCTCTTTGAAAGTGTGGGCAGTGTCAGATCATCTTGCTTACTGCCAGAAGTACACATCTCCTGAGTGCCGTAAAGACAGCCTGACTCATAACTGACACATCCTTACCATCACTGCTTGAAAGAAACCCTCCAATAATTCAACAACTTTAACCTGTTTTCTTGCCATTTTGTCTAAATAAAATGTAGACTACTGCAAAAAAGTACAAATATATTTCAAGGGACAAAATACACAGATCACCTACCATACATCTAAATTCATGTAGTAGGGTGTTTAATCGTATGTAAATGGGTCACTTGGACCTGAAAATTGGTAATGTTTATTGTCATTTGGCTCCCAAACCTAAAAGTCCTTGGCACTGTAAGCAAAGTTTGAAATGTGTTTTTGTACTCATAGGTTCCTTGCTGCAATCATCACCCACCTCCATCTCTGTATTTTTACATCTGTCTGTAAATAACCTCTCCACTATCTTCTTAGTCTGCCTTGTGATCTACTCCCATTCAACTCTTTTGTTTACACAGCTTTTGTCTCTCGGTTGTCTGGCATACGTACTGGCCTGTAGCAGCACATTTTGTCTCTTTATTGTCTGGCATACGTACTGGCCTGTAGCAGCACATTTTGTCTCTTTATTGTCTGGCATACGTACTGGCCTGTAGCAGCACATTTTGTCTCTTTATTGTCTGGCATACGTACTGGCCTGTAGCAGCACATTTTGTCTCTTTATTGTCTGGCATACGTAGTGGCCTGTAGCAGCACATTTTGTCTCTTTATTGTCTGGCATACCTACTGGCCTGTAGCAGCACATTTTGTCTCTTTATTTGTCTGGCATACCTACTGGCCTGTAGCAGCACATTTTGTCTCTTTATTTGTCTGGCATACGTACTGGCCTGTAGCAGCACATTTTGTCTCTTTATTGTCTGGCATACCTACTGGCCTGTAGCAGCACATTTTGTCTCTTTATTGTCTGGCATACGTACTGGCCTGTAGCAGCACATTTTTTCTCTTTATTGTCTGGCATACGTACTGGCCTGTAGCAGCACATTTTGTCTCTTTATTGTCTGGCATACCTACTGGCCTGTAGCAGCACATTTTGTCTCTTTATTGTCTGGCATACGTACTGGCCTGTAGCAGCACATTTTGTCTCTTTATTGTCTGGCATACGTACTGGCCTGTAGCAGCACATTTTGTCTCTTTATTGTCTGGCATACGTACTGGCCTGTAGCAGCACATTTTGTCTCTTTATTGTCTGGCATACCTACTGGCCTGTAGCAGCACATTTTGTCTCTTTATTTGTCTGGCATACGTACTGGCCTGTAGCAGCACATTTTGTCTCTTTATTGTCTGGCATACGTACTGGCCTGTAGCAGCACATTTTGTCTCTTTTTTTTTGTCTGGCATACGTACTGGCCTGTTGCAGCTCATTTTGTCTCTTTTTTTTTTTCTGGTATACGTACTGGCATGTAGCAGCACATTTTGTCTCTTTATTGTCTGGCATACGTACTGGCATGTAGCAGCACATTTTGTCTCTTTATTGTCTGGCATACGTACTGGCCTGTAGCAGCACATTTTGTCTCTTTATTGTCTGGCATACGTACTGGCCTGTTGCAGCTCAATTTGTCTCTTTTTTTTTCTGGCATACGTACTGGCATGTAGCAGCACATTTTGTCTCTTTATTGTCTGGCATACGTACTGGCCTATAGCAGCACATTTTGTCTCTTTATTGTCTGGCATATGTACTGGCCTGTAGCAGCACATTTTGTCTCTTTTTTGTCTGGCATACGTACTGGCCTGTAGCAGCACATTTTGTCTCTTTATTGTCTGACATATGTACTGGCCTGTAGCAGCACATTTTGTCTCTTTATTGTCTGGCATACGTACTAGCCTGTAGCAGCACATTTTGTCTCTCTGTTGTCTGGCATATGTACTGGCCTGCAACAGCACATTTTGGGGACATACTCAGTAGAGCTAGTTCACATTGATTTTGTGTGTCTGATGTTATGTTCTGTGGCTCAGTCATTGCTAGATTGCATTGTTGTTCCAGAATGCCCAGTTCGATTCCAGCTGCAGGCAATTTGGCAGCAGTGAGCATTCAATACAGTTTAGTTGAGTTGGGTTGAATCAAGAATTGACATCACAGCACTCAGGGCATTCCCTTGCATGCTCCGTCCTCATCTTCAGCAGCCAGCGCAGAGTTCCAATACTGATGGTACCGGTCACAATCTGGTTAAAAGTCCATCTTGCCTTTCCTTTGAACGTAGTGAGCCATCTAGACACACTGGTTACACCCAGGTGCCTCATTCTCTCCAGGCCATAATAATCTTCTTTCTCGACTGATTCCGTTGCTTGTTCCCAAAGGCCCTTGACCACGTCCGCCTTGTCATGTATCAGTTCAACACCCAGTGGTCTGTCTGTCTGCCTGTTCATTACCCACCACACCAGCATGGCCTGGAGAAAAGATCCAAAGTATGCTCACCACCTGTGACTTTTCCAGTGAAGCTAGCCACTCTGCTCGAAGCATCCCTGTCACCTTTTTCAGCATGCTTTTAGAGTCTGTTACAATTACGACATGTGTATGCATCTTGTTCCCTAGCCACCGAAGAGCTGCAGTTACCACCTCCACCTCCATTCTCATGCTAAATGTTGTGGTGTCATATGCTAGGCTGTCTTGCACTAAAGATTTTC